CTCACTTGAGTCAAGATTTAGTGCTTAAATGAAGCTCTGCAGGAAACTGGAGCTTTCGCGGAACACGGTGAAGTGCACCACAAGGATATGCAGGGAGGAGCCAGTGAGGGTGGTATCGGTCTCACGGCGTATGTTGTGGTAGCGTTGCTTGAGAACGGGGTAAATGCTGGATTTCATTTGCGGATGGTCCGTAATCGCTTCAGTCAATCAAACTGGTTACAGATTCGCAACGACAACGGTATCGCTTTTCTGGAAAAGCACCTCGATGACCTGAAGAACGACTCGTATGCGTTGGCGGTTACTGCGTATGCGCTGCGATTGGCCAATAGCGATAAGAAGAAGGACGCCTTGGCAGCTCTCGAGAAGTTGCAGATTGTTGACAAAGGTAATATAATTCAGGTCAAAGTGCTCTTAGTTTGTTTATTTCGTTTTCAATTTCCTTACTGTAATACAAAAAAGGGCGTGCTCATGTGTTCGAAATATCGTGCGAGCCCATCACAGGTCCAGAATAAGAATGTGACGAATCATAGTTTGGCTTGGTGGGGGCACCGAATGGTACGTAAAGAGGCATGTACTGGGTACCTTTCAAGACCTGGAAATCATTGTGAACAAACTGGCTCACTTGTACTATTTCGCAGCTTCATGAGACATTACAGTTTAGTTAGCAGGAACTAGCCCTAAGAACTAGTAAAAGTGCAGAACTCCTCACTCCCCCTCTTCATCCCCAAGCAAACGAACCCAGTAGCAATAGAAAGTACGAGGCTCGCGTTTACGGAGAGCGACCGAGGCGTTGCCGTGGCGAAGTCTGAGCGTTACCTAACGTTGCTGTGCTCAGAGATTTACGCCGGGCTCTGGAACTGAAAATTTACGCGATTTTTAAAGGATTCCGTAGAGAACTGGTTTGAAAAGAGCGCCTGTCAATGTCCAGAGAATCCGTATAATTCTCTCCCCCCTTCCTTCCCCCATCACTCGAGCTTTAAGTTTATGGAGCCCTTCAGAAATCGAGTATGTTTTGTCGATGGGCACAAAGCTGAGCGGCACGAAAGCTTTCTTCTCGACTTTTTGTCTTCCTGTTTACCAAAAAATTACCAGAATTTTCCCAGTAGAGTTAATCTTTTCTTTTTCCGATGGCACAATTCACTGGTCTTCAACGAAAGGCGCAGACAAATCGAAGGATACAACACAGTACTTCTACCAACCACGACCTGTAGATGTCGAGACAACTGGTTATGTACTGCTAAACTATATGCTGGACGCTGACACTGAAAAGGTTGGTTGAAAACAAATCTCTCTGAGAGTGTAATGGTAATGGTTCCTCTTCTGAAATGTGATGGCAATGAGCCATTGATTTCAGGGTCTTCCTCTTGTGCGATGGTTAACGGGTCAACGAAACGCGTATGGAGGCTTCTCGTCAACTCAGGATACTGTAATCGCCCTGCAGGCATTGGGTAGCTATGCAGAACATGCATATTCGGCCGATTCAAATGTGACGGTTACGGTAACAAATGGAGCTGACAGTCAAACATTTGGAGTTACACCGTCTAACGCGATTGTCCTTCAAAGCTATGAGGTGAGGTAGTTTTCATGGTTTGTAGCCTAAACGTGCGAACCTTGATATTAATTTTGAATGCGAACGCACCAATTTCAGCTGCCAATAGTATCGGACTCGAGTGTGGATATCCAAGAAGGCTTCCGGAAAGGGAGACAGTTTTCGCTCAGGTTCGTGCTTATCACCTGCAGAAGATATTTGACGAGTGAGATGGCCTGCAACATTCAAATTTTAGGTCTCCTATTCGTACTATCGGAAATACCGTTCGAGATGATTCGCCGTTCTTCTGCTCGAAAGATCTCAAAGAACTGCGTGGTGGCAATAGAATGCAGCTTGACTTGTGTTGCAAGTACGATTTCTTGAACAACTTAACGTCGTACTCATGTAGCGTGGTAGGAGTATGTACCAATCAGCGCGGGCGGACCAGTAGTCCCCTTGAACTGCTCTCTCTTGGATTGGAACTCAGCTGTTCTACAAAACACTTGAGAAGTCGGAAGTAGCAAGTGTCAGATCTGTAAGAGCTAATAAAGGCGGTAACATGGCGACGAATCTAGAGTCGAATGATACCGTAAAAGATGTTTCTTTATAATCCACTAGACTGGCCTCAAGAACTAGGGTATCGGGGATGGAGCCTTTTTAGAACACTGTTGATGCTTTCTAATGTTAGCAGTGAACAGTCTATCTCATTGCAGTCTGCTAATGGAGAGTGCGAGAGCCCAGTAGATAGAAAAGGCTGAATTTCGTTAGTATGAATTTTTTCGTGATGTGAAGGTAATGGTAACACATTGCAGCTACACACGAGGCACCGGCAGATCGAACATGGCGGTAGCTGAGGTCGAAGCTCTCACAGGATTCAAGTGAGTCGTTCACCTATTTCACGCTCTTATACTACATATTGTGATTTATTAGGTCCAGTGCCGTTATTGCAACGACGTAGAAGTGCGCAAACGTTAATGAGCGTTCTCAGCCTTTTCGTTGAAACGCGTATGCGACAAAAAGTGGTAGAAAACGAGTAATACGAAGGATATAATGCTGTCATGTCATTTGCTCGCTTCAACAACTGGTGCAGAAAGACTTTGGCACCGCGGAAAACGCAGCCGCACTGACCCGCCCCGACAGTCCGTAATGATGAGAGTGATAATACACCAGTCGCCTCGCCGGCTGACGCCGGCGCGGCTCCTTCTGATACGGCCCGGCTGCGCCGGGCGGGCGCGGCTTCGCCGCGCGTACCTTCTCTCACATATCTAGACTCAACTGATATCCGCCTTTTGTTCTGTACTCTACTTTTCTCCGGTGTCTGAAGTACTCTTGAGCTGTTTTACAAATTCTTCGTCTGACTCCGCCCACCTCAGAGCAGACCCGCCCTCAATTTTTGTGCCCCGCACTCTTCACAGGCGACCCCCTGCTGACCTTAATCCACTTTTTTCCGGTGTCTGATGTGTTCTGGAACCGTTCTGCAGAGTTTTTGTCTGGCTCCGCCCACCTCGAAACAGGCTCCGCCCCAATTTTTGTGCCCCACAATCCTCATTGGCGACCCTCTGCTGACCTTGATCCACTTTTTTCCGGTCTTCGGAGTGCTCTGGGAGAGTTTTGGAGAATTTTTGTCTGGCTCCGCCCACTCGGGCTGGCCCCGCCCCCAATTTTCGTGCCCCACAATCCTCATTGGCGACCCTCTGCTGACCTTGATCCACTTTTTTCCGGTCTTCGGAGTGCTCTGGGAGAGTTTTGGAGAATTTTTGTCTGGCTCCGCCCACTCGGGCTGGCCCCGCCCCCAATTTTCGTGCCCCACAATCTTAATCGGCGACCCCTTGCTGACTTGAATTCACTTTATTCCGGTCTTCGGAGTGCTCTGGAACCGTTTTACAGACCTTTTGTCTGGCTCCGCCCACCTCGAAGCAGGCTCCGCCCACAACGTTTTTGCCCTCGATCCCGGTCCTCACCTTCGACCCTCTGCTGACCTTAATCCACTTTTTTCCGGTCTTCGGAGTGCTCTGGGAGAGTTTTGGAGAATTTTTGTCTGGCTCCGCCCACTCGGGCTGGCCCCGCCCCCAATTTTCGTGCCCCACAATCCTCACCGGCGACCCTCTGCTGACCTTAATTCAAGTTTTTTTCCGGTCTTCGGAGAGCTCTGGAACCGTTTTACAGACCTTTTTGTCTGGCTCCGCCCACCTCGGAGCAGGCTCCGCCCACAATGTTTTTGCCCCACCAGTCCTCACCGGCGAACTCTTTGCCGCCTTGAACGCACGTTTTTCCGGTCTTTGCAGTGCTCTGGAACCGAGCTACAAACTTTTAAAGTGAGTATCCTGCGGTTTAGGGCAAGCTCCGCCCACTGTGGGCGGATCTCAACACACTTTGGGCATGCCCAAATACTCCGCCACAGATATTTACATTCTGCATTGAGCTTTTTGCGGCTTCTGAACACTCTCGCGAACCGAGTTACTGAGTTTTATGCGAAGCACCGCCCACCTTGAGTACGCCCCGCCCATTTTGGATGTGTCTGCCACAGTTAGTCTGGCGACTCCTTACTAACCTTATTCCCTTTTTCACCATCTTAGGCTGCTCCGGAAGCGAATTATGAACATTTTTCTGTGAAACCCCAAAATTTCAGCGAGTGCCCCGCCCACTGTGGGCGGGGCTTCGCATAGGTCAAGTGTGCTTTTTATTTCTTGTCCCATGCTCTACCCATCCCCACCTTGACCCGACCTCTCCAAGTCGTTCTTCAGGTCGAACCGAATTTCCGGACAGACAAACAAACTTACAAACAAACAAACTTACAAACAAAACTTACAGCAAACAGATAAGTCGATTCATCTAATTTCTATATGTGATTGGCTGCGTGAATTTTTATCCATCTCCCGTTTAGATTTCGACGACGAAGAAATGGGCAAGTTAACTGGAATTTCGGATCTTCAACGAGTTGAACTTGATCATGACGACACAAAAATGAATATCTATTTCAATCCGGTAGGATTTTCTGAAGTAATTCAAAGCACTTTTTTGTGCGAACAAGAGAGAACTAAGAGAGGCATGCTACAACTGCTCCGTAACACGTAACTACTCCAATGCTTCGAAATATGCTAAGAATTTTGCGGTTCTGGAAGAAGATGAAGCGAGCTAGAAACTGCTTCTCATAGAAAGTATTGAACATTAATGTAAAAGACGAGGCGTTCCGTGTGAACCTACCGCTTTTCGGGCGAATTAAATAGATCCACGATAACCAATGGTCTTGCACTGAGAACTGCGAAAAGACAGAATCCACTCGTGTGGGAGAGGTAATGTGGTCCGCAGTGGACACAAACTTGTACATTTTCCGCAGCCGAGAGTTGGTAAGGGCACTTAGGTGCAATGTTGCGCCAGGGATACCTCTTACTGGATGGTGCACACCTTCAGATTCAAGTGCACCTTCCGCAAGGAAATGATACAAGCGGACGAGTAGCATGAAGAAGAAGCTAGCTACATGTCCCTTGAGGGGCAGGGGGTAGACGGGAGAGCCTGTCAGCTGATTTTCAGATTCTGTTCAGCTGGACGGGACTCAATAGTGACGCTTCCAAGCGTGGGTCGTGCCTTCAGACGCTGCGTGATTACCTGGTAATAAATGCACGTTGTCCCATCCCCTATCCCTGAGGTGTCACATTTTTGGCTTCAGACGCTTCTTCATTTCATGTTGACCGCAGCGCTTCGCCACACATCACACGAGGGTGGGTTGAGCGCTGCGGTCATCATGCAATGAAGAAGCGCCCCCCATGGAAGTTGCCACATTCAACTTGGTACAAGATTTGTTACCGGTCCTATATTTTTGTTTAAATACAATTGGAAGGGTGTGAGCTGTCTAGGACCAACCATTAATGTCTCGCACGTCTTCAGGCTCGTCTTTTTCCTCTTATCCTTCTTCTCTGGTCTTTCACCGGTGTAGCAGTGTCTCGCTTCATCAGGTACTCGTCTAGTCCTGAGACCTTACCTGGGGCGTCTTCGACAAATTTTTTTGCTTTTTGTAAGACAGCGAATTTGCATCGGGACCCTATAGACTGCCAGTTGTAATTCCGGAATGCGCCTTCAAAAGGTTAGTGTCAGAAAAAGCTCACCTGTGAAAGAGAGGTGTGAACGGTTGAACTGGAGATATGGTGTAATTCGCTGTGGACGGTTGGGCATGTCATTGCGACTGGTTTGGCGCAGTGACATGCCCAAACATTCTCTCGTTCTCCACCAGTTGTTGAAGCGGGCAAGTGACAATACTGTATCATATCCTTCGTATTACTCGTTTTCTACCACTTTTTGTCGCATGCGCGTTTCAACAAGAAGGCAGAGAACGGCTTTGATGGGGTGACACACTCATACTGGCTGACACGCCCAACCGTCCGCAGCGAACTACAGTTTAGAATTTACACCCGAGCCCTTCTTCTTCAGCTTCTTCTGAGGACATGATTGTGAGGTTTCACTTTCAGCTTGGAAGCTCTCCGGTGTGCTTATCGCTGTTCTCCGATATGACGTACTACGTCGCTGATCAAAAACCAGCCCAACTGGTGCTTTTCGACTACTACAACCCTGAGGAACAGGTAATTTCAGTCCAGATACCGCTATTGAAATTGTAACAAGGACTATACTACTTTACATGTTTCAATAAAGCTGGAAGAAAGTCCGTTGCTTCACTGAAGTTTAGCTAGATGGTACCTGAGCCGTACCCTGTACGGCATGCAGTAACCTTCTGAGCGTAGCCATCATTTCAACTTCTTGGAGGCATACTGTAGATTACGGTGCACTGCACCAGACTATAGTGTACCACCGGCTCTCTATTTTACTACTGAGATAGATTGTTTTAGTTAAAATCCTCCTACTCATCAAAACAAACGCGGTCGTTACCGGAGACATGTCCGGATTGCTGGCAGACGGGTGATTCGTTCAGTCCAGCTCCAACGAGAGGACATTCAAGCAGTACAACACCTTCTGCGCAGGGTATGTTTGTCGGTGTTGTCGCGTTTGTGCTGTGGCAACTTTTACTGTAAGTATACAAGCATGGTTGATCAATCAGCATGGAATTGTTGTGTTGTATGTAATATACTGTATCGTCGCCGATCGCTAGTCGAATCCTTTGGCTACGAGCCAACGCCACACCTGTTTTAGCCGATCCTTCAGCGATCGCTGACGTTTCGATAGTGATTATTATATGATCTGTATCGCATTTCGCATATCATTTCCTCGTCAATTATGCATTTCCTCACTTAAGAGGGGCAACTTTACGTTCGTCCCCCTTTTCCACGATACGGTTGCTTTCTTTTTGTGTCAAAAAGTGAAAGTTATCGACTCTGTAATGAGTCTGAGTGTTTAATGGATGACTAAACGTATTTAACGGCGAAGACGATAAGGATGACGGCAAGAGAGCGGCCTCTGAACGGAGCTCGGAGGCTGCCCGATTGCCGAGTTTTTCTCAGTTTTCAGCTTTTTATAGTTGTTTTTGTTTGTGCGTGTTCAGTTCTCACTTGTTTTGCCTGGACGGTGTTGACCAAGGTAGTGCTCAGAATGATGATATGCATGATTACAGAATTTTGTGCCTTGATTTTCTACGTTTCATAGATAGAATTGAATAAAACTTACGAGTTTTATTGTGTTTGATTGTTTTCTACTAACAATTAATACCAATGGTTTTTCTATGTTTACTAAGGAGTGATTGGACATGACACTGAATAATACCTCCTAATTTCTCGAGTGCTTCACTGTGCTGCTACTGTGTGGCAAAAAGACATAACGTTATTAAGAGTTGGCTGAATACAATTTTCGTTCCACTGAAACTCACACAATATGGCATGGAAATCAGAAGCGAATAGACGGATGCCACTGTGCCTTCCACGTTTCTTGATCCCCTCTCAAATAGGGCAGAGAGGAGGACTGCTTCCCCACCTGCTAAATTTGGGTTTTTGAAGTGGACTGAGAACTATTTGCCCCAGGTGGGCACACTTTCCTATTCCAATGTTACCAACGGTGGCTGACTTTGATTTGAAAGTTTGCAGAGTTTGGGCACAAGTCCGCTCTCGGATCGGGAGCATTCACAGGATTTTCTCTGCAAGGATCGGGTTACCGTAAATAAGGTTGCCTAAAGTCCAAGAAGGAGATGCAGCTTCGTTGGTCAACCATTTTCGAACAGAGCACGCCATCGCGTTGTGATCAACTTCTGCTAAATACGACTCTCCCCCTCCAAAAAGGTCTCGATACAACCTCCCAGTGTCCGCCTGCGTAATATTCGTAGCAGATATAGTAGCAAGTGGACACACAACTACTCAAGATGCGGAGATCATCCGAAATACACTGAGAATGAAAGACGCGACCGGCTAATCGAGGGTAAAGATGAAGCACGATGGAAATGAGCCATAATAAATCATAAGTGAATTTAGAAAAGTAACAAATTATAAACGAGTTTAAAAGGCTCAAGAAAGAAAAAAATGTGTAATCGTCTCGGCATTCGCTGGTACATCATAGAGTCTAGAGCGCGCATCGTGCCGAGGTTTTGGAGCGAGCTATTAGTATGAGTCGTATATGATTCGGACAAATTGACAAATTTTTTCTTTATCGTACAACTTTTTAACGACAACTGGGGTTCACTTGAAATATGCTCCATCTTCATCGATGACCTTCTGCCACCGGATAGGCAGATCGTGGATGCCCTTGCTCCAGAAGCTGCCCATGTGCGGTCTCGCGTTGTCGCGCTGGAAGTAGACATGGACCGTCGCCGGCTTGCGAAATTTTAGGCATTGCCAATTCTGCGTAATGACGAATGGCGTACTGTTGCCACCTTCATCGAGCACCGTTCCAGAACTCTATCGCCGTGTACGCTCCACCAAATACAGAGCATCACCTTTTTCGGGTGTGGACTGGGTTTGGGGACGTCGTTTGCGTCGGCATCTTTGTCGACCCATTGTGCACGGCGGTGAGAGTTAGAGTAGAGGACCCACTTCTCATCGCCAGTGATTATTTCGTCGAGCCAATGGTGGTGGCGCTTGAAGGTGAGCAACGAAAGTGCGACCTCGCACCGCCGATCCATGTCCCGCTGCGTCAGAGCATGGGGTACCCATCGACCGAGTTTCAGCACCTTGCCGATTGACTTCAAGCCGCGAACGACAGTAGTCTGACTCAATCCAAGAGCGGTCGCCATATCTCGAGTGGTTTGATCTGAGTCAGCTTCCACCTGTTTCCGCAGCGGAGTCAAATCCAGCTCCCTCGGCGCGTAAGCGCATTGGCTCTCGTATTCGATGGAATAGTTGCCCGACGCAAACTTTCGAATGCCACAAGTAGACTGTACTTCTAGCGGGGCATGCTCCTGTAGACTTCCTTTAGGCGTCTGTCGATATCCGCGGGTTCTTGGCCAGATAGCGTTAGAAAGAGTATGACGTTGCGGAGGTGGTCTCTGGACGGCTTGAAATCGTGCGGCATGGTGGCGCGAATGAACTAGTTTGGAGTTTTTTGTTTGATTGCATTTTGAAGAACTTTTTATACTCTTCCCAACGGTACCTCGCGCGTCCATTTTCGTTCACTCGTTGCTGAGTTATGATCTCTAGAAATCATCACTACCATTTGTCCGAGCCATATCGACTCAACCTAATATTTACAACCGGAGCCAGTTTGGAGCAAGTATTCGAAAAGTGCCTCAGCAGCATAAGCCATTTTATATACAATAAGTATGGAATATCATGTGAAATAGCCCAACAAGGAAACCGGGTTTTCGGAATCCAATAGACTATCCGATGTGACACCTTCATATGGCATATGAACGCCATGTAATGGATGTGGCAACTTCTCCCATGAACTGCTATAGCCTTAGCCCAGATAATACAACAGCTTTAGGCGGCTAGCGCTTCGACCTCATTGCCTTCGTCAGAGCCTGAAAAAGTCAACAATTAGTGTGAACTACCACAGAATATCATTTCAAACCTCAGAGCAGCTCCTCTTAGATATGTTGGCCGAATAGAGTTGTTATATCTCTTGGAAGCGGCCCAGTAGAAAAGGATACCATGATTCATAGAGGGTCAAACGTGAGCAATTAGGCCAACGATTTACTGGGAGACTACCGACTGCTGTGCTTCCTAAACCACAAGCCATAAACTTCGTACCCCCAACTATAATACAAACTATTCCGTCGTAAGGGGACGTAAGATGCTGTATAGCGTATGCATAGTTATTTTATTTTATTTTCATTTACGGCGTCAAAGCTGCCGTATTTTGCCGTGCAGTTGTGTAAGTCCATTTCGAGAATAAAAATACTTCCTGACCCTGAAGTCTGACCTAAACAACTACGGCTAGGCGCTTCTGTATTCACCGATATGCAAGGAATGATGTGACGTGAACACCCAAAAAGGAGCGGGTTGCTTGATATTCAGTCGGCCTACAATATGACGTTTGAAGAGTTAGTCGGATCAACACTGGTCCGGTTCGCTAACAGAGTGAATGGTGAGCAGCATGACAGTGAAGATTTCTCCACTTGAGAGCAGAATTCGCGCTCATTGCATGGATGAATACATGGGCAGCGACAGAACCACCGCGCCTAATTCTCTAGTAGTGGGATTCTCTGCTTGAGCGTCACACTAGTTAGGCTGCGTTCACACCTTGCGTCAGCGTATGACAGCGCTAGTGAAGTACGTGTATGGATGCCAGTACAGCAGCGTTTTGGCAGGCATTTTTGTTAAAGCTCATAAGCTGCCACACGCTGGTGTACAGGGGGGGAGCGAAAAAAGACACTTTCTCTTCCTTGACTTTCAAGGCGCTATAAGGCTACACTTTATCGAATTCTGATTGGACATTTCCCACCACCATATTCAACAGTATATATCATTCATATTTGTATTCAACAGTATACTATCATGATACTCCGCCACAGCCTTCTGGACGAGCGCCGAGAGATTCTGCCACGCGACCGTGATTCGGTACCTGAGTTCAGCGAGATCGTTGATTTCTCCGCCACTGTACCACCCTGTTGAGCTCCGCCCGAACCGGGTAATTGAGGGGTTTAGGTCAGGTGACACACTTAGATATTCCATCTTCTTCAGGTACTCAGCCCCCTTCCATTCCAAGTAGGCGAGTGTTTCTCCAACGCCCTTCGATTTCATGTGGTGGCACTCAATGCTGTAGCAGTACAAAGTTTCCAAGAAGGTACGGGCGACCACATGTGAGGAGGATATTCTTCACGAGTTGCCCAATGTAACCGCCAGCGCTCACCTTCAGTCCGGGGTCCACGAAGAAAATATTGGTCTTTCCATTCCAGGTACGTCCGGTCCATACCATCAACCCGCGCCTTGGCGATGTGAAGATGATGTCCTAGACCGTAGCGACGTTGTCGGAGCTGCTCGATGTTGGAGGTCTTCCAGATCGAGAGTACTGGTCTCCAGGTAGCTATCCATGGGTGACTCCATACTAGAAGTTTCGCAGCTGTTTGGAGGTGACATGAATTCCAAAGGTCTTCTCCAGTCAGGCTGCGACTGGAGATGACTTCATATTTTGGTGTACATGAAGGTGATGGGCGAGAGCCAGCTCCTGCTTATCGAGGAACATCTTGGGTATCTTCCGCCCTGGTACTCGTATCCACGTCCTCTGTCTG